CAAGCCTGTTTGGCTGCCCAAAAGGTTGCTATGCTGGTAATCATGGGATCTGCATAGACAAAAACCATTGGGGATAGGGGATGGTAATGAGGAGAGAAATTGGATAAGACTAGACCAACGGCTGTCTGGATCCAACCCTATGCACATCTAAGTATCTAGAACATGTTACAACATATATGTTCAAATTATTTTCAGCATTTTTTCCTTTTTTAAAAAATTTATTACTCAAAACCCCCCTATTTATTATTCAACCCCCCCTAACTACAAGTTAGGAGCTGCGGTGGCTCAAGTGGTTAAGACGCTGAACTGCAGGCTGTGGAAGGCCGGTAGTTCAGCAGTTCAAGACCTGAGTGTGCCGCATGACGGAATGAGCTCCCGTCTCTAGTTCCAGCTCCTGCCAACCTAGCAGTTTGAAAGCAAGAAATTGCAAATAGATAAATAGGCACCACTTCAGTGGGAAGGTAACAGTGTTCCGTGCGCCTCGGTGTTTAGTCAAGCTGGCCACATGACCACGGAAACGTCTTCGGACAGCGCTGGCTCTTCGGCTTTGAAACGGAGATGAGCACCGCAACCCTAGAGTCGGATTTGACTGGCTTTTGAGCAAGGGAACCTTTACCTTTACTTAACTACAAGTTTACGTGGTGAGTGACTTAGATTGCTTGCCTGCTTTAATATTTTCTAATGTTTCTGACCTTGATAGCCAGGCTAGACGGATCTCGTCAGCTCTTGGAAGCTAAGCAGGGTCGGCCCTGGCTAGTATTTGGATGGGGGACCTCTAAGGAATACCAGGGATGTGACGCAGAGACAGGCAATGAGAAACCACCTGTGAACCTCTCTTTCTAATGTTTCTGACCTTGATAGCCAGGCTAGACGGATCTCGTCAGCTCTTGGAAGCTAAGCAGGGTCGGCCCTGGCTAGTATTTGGATGGGGGACCTCCAAGGAATACCAGGGATGTGACGCAGAGACAGGCAATGAGAAACCACCTGTGAACCTCTCTTGCTTTGAGAACTCTAAGGGGTGGCCGTACGTCAGCTGTGACTTGATGGCCCTTTCGGCCACCAATGTTTCTTTGACATTAACAAAAGATCCACAGTATAAAAGAACAAAGTAGCAGAATCATCATTAGAACGGAAGGGTGGCAAAAATGAAACAGTGAAACAAGCCTGCATTTTAAATATGCAACAGCCAAGTCAACCAGCCTTCAATAATGCACAAATGCCTGGAAGTAGAAGACTGTTTTCCTCTGGTGCATAAGAAGAACACAGTTGGCATTGGCACTGTCATGCAAATGGCAACAGAGGGGGGATTCTAAGTATGAGGAGCCACAACAAAGAAGGCTCTGTCTCCGACAGCCATTCATCTCTCTTTGGAACATGTATGTAGATATAAAATAGGTAAGTAATGTGAGGCTCAGGCAAGTACGATCAAGAGACTATGCTTTGGAGTGTCTCAGTGATTCCTGTACAGGAAAGAACAGACAGATCCTAGGAAGTCCGGCTTACCAGAACACAACTCCTATTTTATTACTTAGCAAACATAGCAGACTCATAGCAACAGGTGGCAAACTGGACCCTGCGGTCTCCCGCTCGAGGGATACACTCCGTAAGTTTCATTCATGCACTTGTTTTCCAAGTTGCCGTCCCTGAAAGGTGACCTTTTCATCGTCCACAGCACTGTTCTTGTTGGTGGTCTAAAGCAGCTGTAATCATGTTCCAAAAGACTTAACAATGCCGTCTGCATGTCAGAATTTTTTTTATAGCTTCTATGCCCTTCTGTCCCATGACAGCTCTTCCCTGGTCCCTGCCTTTACAACCCCACCTGCCCATCAGATCTGTCCACCTGTCCCTCTTCACTCCTTTCAGTCCTCCCAGAACATGACACAAGCAGGGCTATTTTGGGGCAGGAACGCACAGGAACGGAGTTCCGGCTGGCTCCCAAGTTGGCCACGCCCAGCAGGAACTCATTAGCATAATAGGCCACACCCAACAGCAGAAACTCATTAGTATGGGCTACATTAGGGATGTGTGGCCTAACATGCAAAGGAGTTCCTGCTACAAAAAAGCCCTGGGTTTTGACAACAAACAAGGTAAACAGAATAACAAGCAAAAGGTGGGTGTGGCCGGATAACCAGACTTCTGGTAACATGGGGGTGTGGCCTAATGTGGTAATGAGCTTTGCTGTCAGGGGTGTGGCCTAATATGCTAATGAGTTCCTGCTGTTGGGTGTGGCCTATTATGCTAATAAGTTCCTGCTGGGCTTTTTCTACAAAAAGAGCCCTGGACAAGAATATGAGAACAGCCATGCTGGATCAGGCCAATAGTTCCCCTTAGTCCAGCATCTAGTTCTACACCATGGCCAACCAGATACTCTAGAAGAGGCCAAAGTCACCTTCTGTTGTTGCCC